ACATGAGAGTGTCACTCCCTGATTAAAGAGCACAAACCCCATCTCCTTAACTTAGGGGAGAAAAGAGGTAATGTGCTCCACAAGAACCCTGCAGGAGGTAATATTTCTTGCACAAAACTCTCTGAGGAAAACTGTTTGAACTTTAGGATTAAAAAACTCAAAACCCCAATCACAAGAGCACAGGGGATTAATAACATGACCAAAAACAACTCCAGATTCATAAATCTTAATGAAGGATGAAAGAGCAAGACAACTGCTGTCCCTCAAAAGTCAACTCCACCATTAAGATCTAAACACCTGTGTAGAAGAACTATCAAATAGTTAATAAAAAAATGGAAAAATTATAAATAATTTAAAAAACCACAAAAGCTAGAATCTGACCTCAAAGAGGATGTGTATAAACAATTAAATGAACTCAAAGACAATACAAACAGATGAATGAAATTAAGAACAATATGCAGATATGAAAGAGGAACTCAATGTAAATATGGAATGCCTGAAAAATAATCAATCTCAAATAAGCAAGTTAATATTCCAAATAAAAATCTCAAAAGCTTGGTGATAAGTGGAGCAAGTTGAAAACAGAGTATCAGGAATAGAAGACAAAGTAGAGGAATTGGACAAAACAGTAAAATATCATAGAAGAATGATCAGAAAATACAAATGGAACATGCAAGATATCTGGGACACCATAGCTGAAAACTTCTCTAACCTTTACAATTAGAGTCACTCAGGTGCAGGAAGATTATAGAACTCCAAACTGTCAGACCAAAAAGAAACACTCCCAGACACATCATAATCAAGACATCTAGCACACAGAACAAAGAAATAACTCTGGAAGCTGCAAAAGAAAAAAGACAGGTCATATATAAAGTCAAACCTATTGGAATAATAGCAGATTTCTGAACTCAAACTCTAAATGTAAGAATGTCATATGTCATGGAAAGATGTAATTCATGACTGAAAGAAAGCAACTGTCAACATAGACTATCCAGAAAAATTATCCTTCCCAATCAAAGGACAAGAAAGCCCTTTCACAACAAAGAAAAACTAAAGGGATTCACAGCTACTAAACTAGCACCATGGAGGATTTGGACTGCTACATAGAGAAGAAGATACTAGAGTGAGACAGGGAGACTCAAGAGAGAATAAAACATTTGAGCAAGCATACCAGTAAACAAGGAAGGGGCAAAACTAGCAACAGAGGAATTAAAATGACTGTAAACAACAGGCATCTCTCAATATTAACAGTGAATATAAAATACATAGAATCATAAACTAGAATAAAATAAAATACCCAACAATATGTTGTTTATAAGAGACTCATGTCATTGAGAAAAATAAACACTGGCTTAGAATCATAGGGTGGAAAAAGTTTTCCAAGAAAATGGACCCCATAAATAGGGTGGAGTAGATATATTCATGTCTGCCAAAATAAACTTCAGAATAAAATCAGTCAAGAGACAGTGAAAGTCACTTTATTTTAATTAAAGGAAGAGTTCATCAAGAGGAAATACCAACTCTTAACATATATGCACCAAACAAAGTGCTACCATCTACATTAAAAAATCTAGTTGACCAAAGAACATAGATAGACACAGTGATAGTGTGAGACCTGAGTACCCCACTGTCTCCAACAGATACATCATCCAGGCAAAATACCAAAGAAAATTCAGAGCTACTGCACATATTGGACCAAAGTGATATGATAGGTATCTACAGAGTATTTCACCCCAAAACCATGCAATACACATCTTTTCTGCAGCTCATGGAACATTCTCCAAAGTAGATCATATCTAAGTACACAAAGCAAATGTCAACAAATTCAAGAACAATGAAGTAACCAACAGCCTGTATAATTTCAGATCACAAAAGAATAAAACTAGATCTTAACAACAATAGAAACCACAGAATATATTCAAACACATGAAGACTAAACAACAAGACTACTGAAAGACCAGTGGGTCTATCTCAAATAAACAACCTAATGATGTACATTGAACTATTAGATAAACAAGAAAAAACTAAATCAAAATAAGAAGACAAAGAGAAATAATAAAAAGCAGGACTGAGATCACCGAGATTGAGAAAAAATAACTATAAAAATAATCAATGAAACAAAAATTTGTTTCTTTGAAAAGATTAAGAAGATAGACAAACCCTGAGCCAACATGACAAGACAGAGGAAGGAAAAGACCCAAATTAATAAAAATCACAGGTGAAAAATGGGACATACCACAAATACTACAAAATCTAGAGAACTGTTGAAAGTATATTGCAACCTTATATTCAAGTAAACTGTAAAATGTAGATCAAATGGATAAATCCCTAGATGCATATAACAAACAAAAAGTGAACAAACATGTTAAACACCTAAATATTCCTATTGCAATCAATAAAATAGAAGCAGCAAAAAAGACTCCCTACAAAGAAGAGCACAGGACATGATGGCTTCATGGCCAAATTTCACCAAACCTTTGAAAAAGAAATAATACCAATATCCCTCACACCTTTCCAAGAAATGGAAATGGAAGGAATACTGCCAAATTCATTATATAAAGCCAACAATCCATTCATTCCAAAACCCACTAAAGACACAACCAGAAAAGAGAATTATAGGTCAATATCTTTAATGAATATGGATGCAAAGATTCTCAACAAAACACTGGCAAACAAAATTCAGTAACACAACAAAAAAAAAACATACACAATTACAAAGTCAGTTTTATTCCCAACAAAATACTAGAAAACAGAACTCAACAAAACATCAAAAAAATCATACACCATGAGAAAGTCAGTTTCATTCCGGAGATTCAAGAATTGTTCAACATACATAAATTCACAAACCTAATACAGCATATAAAGAGAAACAACAACAAAAACCTGATGATCCTCATAATGCACAGAGAAAAATTCTTTGACAAAAATCAACATCCTTTCATAATATAAGGTCTGAAGAAACTAGGAATAGCAGGGACATTCCTCAACATAATAAAGGTTATATATGACAAACCTGTAGCCAACATAATACTAAATGGAGAACAACTGAAACTGTTCTCATTAAAGTCAGGAATGAGACAGAGCTGTCTGCTTTGTCCACTCCTATTCAATATAATTTTGGAATTCGGAGTCAGAGAAATAACCTAAGAGCAAGAAACAAAAGGATTCAAAAAGGAAAGAAAGAAGTCAAAGTATCCTTATATGCAGATGACGTATTTCTGCGTACAAAAGACTCTAAAACATCTACCAAAACAATCATGTTTTTTTGTTTTGTTGTTTTTACCTAAAAAAATGTTTTAGGAATCATAAACACTTTCAGGAAAGTAGCAGGATACAAAATGAACATAGACAAATCTGTAGCCTTCCTATACACCAACAACAACCAGACTGAAAAAGAAATCATGGAATCAATTCCATTTACAATAGCTTCAAAACAGCAAAGTACCATGGAATAAATTTACTGAAAGAAATTAAAGATATTTTTAATGGAAACTACAAAACACTGAAGAAGGAAATAAATTGACATTAGAAGACGGAAAGATCTTCCATGCATGTGTATTGGTAGAGTTAACGTTGTCAAAATGGCCCTACTACCAAGGCAATCTACATGTTCAATGCAATCCCTATCAAAATTCCAATGACATTTTGCACATAAATAGAAAAATCAATCTTGAAAGACATATGGAAGCACAAATTACCTCAAATAGCCAAAGCGATTCCTACCAAAATGTCCAACACTGAACATATCACAATACCTGACTTCAAAGTATATGGTAGAGCCATAGCAATAAAAATAGGATGATATTGGCACAAAACAGATAGGAAGACTAGTGGATAAAAATAGAAGACACAAACATAAACCCATGCATCTATAGACAAGTGATCTTTTCCAGAGGAGCCTAAAACACATGATGGAGAAAAGACAGCCACTTCACCAAATGCTGCTGGGAAAAATGTAGAAGACTGAATCTAGATCCTTATGTTTCACCCTGTACCAACATCAACTCAAAGTAGATCAAAGACCTTACTATAAGGCCTGGAACTTTGAAACAACTCCAGGGAGCAGTAGGAAATGTGCTGTAACAGTAAGGTATAAGGAACAACTTCCTAAACAAGAACCCAAAATGCTCAGCACCTAAGAGAAACAATGAGCAAATGGGACTGCATCAAAATGAAGAGCTTCTGAACACCAAGGGAAACAGTCAGCAGACTCAAGAGACAGCCTACATAATGGGAGAAAATCATTGCCAGCTACTAATCCAATAAAGGACTAATATCCAGAACTTGCAGGGAACTCAAGAAACTCAGTCCCCAAACAATCAACACTCCACTGAATAATGGGCACCTGAATTAAACAGGAATTCTCAAAAGAAGAGGTACAAATGGCCAGCAAATACATGAAGAAGTGTTTAACTTCCCTGGTTATAAAAGAGATGCAAATCAAACCAACACTTACATTTCACTCACCCCAGTTAGAATGGGAATAATCAAGGACAACAACAAATGGTGATGAAGATGCAGTGAAACCAGAAACCATCTACACTATTGGTAGGAATGCAAATTAGTACAACAACTATGGAAAGCAGTATGAACATTACTTAAGCTAAAGATAGAATTGCCATATGATCCAGTGATACCACTCCTGTGCATCTACACAAAGGAACATAAGACAGGATACAATAGAGACACCTGTACACTGACGCTCACTACAGCACTACTCACAATACACAAGCTGTGGAAACAACCCAGGTGCCCTATAACTGAGGAATGAATCAAGAAATGTAGTGTATATACACAATGGAGTATTACTCAGCCATAAGATTTAATGGCATGTGCTTTGAAGGTAAATGGTTGCAACTGAATTACATCATGTTAAAGGAAGTAAACCAGGTTCAGAAATAAAAAGGCTGCATGTTTTCTCTCATATATGCAAGATAGAACCAAAAGATGTACATAAACACAAAAACAAGCATAATCATATACAAGGTTAGATGTAGAACATGGTTGTAATACTGAAACTCCTTTATGGAACCCAGGAAAAGGAGGAAAGTAAAAAAAATGATAGAACATCAGTAACAGTGTATAACATAAGATGGAAAGGTAGAGGATATAAGGATGTCTATTTAAAATTATTGAAAATAGAGGGTAGGAGGCAAAGGGGTAAGAGAGAGTAATGGAAGGGGTTGAAAGGACCAAAGTAAAGTATACCCACATTGGCATATATTGAGACATCCCTTTGAATATCAACAAATATAGGATTGTAAAATAGTTACAGTGTTTTGGGATTACTAGTGGAAAGGGGAAGGTGAATGATAGAAATAAAGGTGATGGTATATGGTAGATGGACTTCATGTACCCATATGAAACAGAGCTATGAAACCTCTTCAGTTGCTTTGAGTGGGGATGATGGGGATGAGGGAGCGATGATGAGAGCAATAGAACTAGCATACAATATAAGTCTACTTGGAATTGTCACTATAAATCCCCCAGTGTATGATGAACATATCATAATAAAAACTCATGAAAAGATGAAATATTTCTGCAGATAGATGGTGTTGATAGTTTCAAAACGATGTGTGTGCAATTAATGCCACCAATCTTTACTATAATATAGTTAAAATATTAAAAGAAAATCATGGAAATAAAAAGCAGATGAATCTTAAAAAGTAAATGAAAGAAAGTAATTTCTCACAAGATTTTTTTTCTCAATATAGGAATAACTTCTCACCCTCTTGGAAATATTTCTATCTTTCATATTTTTCTCCATTAATATCATGAAGTCCTTAGAGACTGGCATAGTGTGAACCAAAGTGAATAATTATGACCTCTGTGAATTGGGTCTCCTATGCCAGGGAATAGTAAATAATCAGTCTGTGCCTCTACACATTTAGTCTGATGACTGTGTTCTAGTGATCCATACCTATGTCTCCTCCTATCATGACATTCTGCAAAAGGGAGTTCTGCACTGTCATTTTTGTCATATCAATTTTGAAGATCAAGATTGAACCTTCACTGAATAATAGGAAAGTTTGTTTTTCACTTCCCAAGCCTTGGTCATGACCAAACAAACTCACAATGTAACCATATAAGTACTGAAAGAGACAGGGAAGAAGTAAATCTAACAGAATCTTTACTTACTAATTATCAGAATAAATATAATTGCTTTGATAGCTTAACTGGAGAACAACTTTATGTATGTAACTTACGTACACTGTGGAATTTATGTTCTTGGTTTTGATAGATGTCATACAATATTCATTAAATATTTTGCTTTCCACTTATTTTTGTTCTCCTCCCTCCCATAGACATATCAATCAAAAGAACAGAAAATAGATCCAACTGAATTGTTTGCTAAGCAAAACAATTATGAGGGTTCTGATGAGGAGGAGAGTGTCAGTAGCCATAACGTCATGTATTATTATTGATAGGTTCCTAAGTGACAGGCTTTGAGATACACATTCTGTATAGCTTGCTTCCCCTGAAAAGTGCTCCACAAGTTATAACTTCTCATTGTATTATTTTTCTTTTTCATAAAAGTAAAGAACACAGTATTTCTAAATAACATGTACCAGTAGTTAGGTAGAAAAAAGTAAAGTGTTGTTTATATTGATTTGTGTGATTAAGACATAAGTCATTCTTGCTGTTGACAGAGCAATCAGCCATTTATTTCTCTTTACTTTCACTCCACAGAGAACTCTTGCTTACTGTATTCTTTCCTCCTGGTGCTTCAGCTAGATTTCTGCTAAGTGATAGCAGTGGATTGCAGGGTATGACCACAAAGATTAGGAACAAAATAATTCAGCACAGATATCTCTCTCTTTCTATATATCTTGGTCATCTCTCTTTTTTTGTTTTGATACAGGGTCTCTTCATGTAGTTCATGATTATCTCAAATTCACGATTCTTTTGACTTATTCTTCATATTATGGAGATAACAGGTGTGAGCCACTGATTTGGTCTCATCTTCCTCCATCAGCTCGCTTAGTCTCCAAAGGAGAAATAAAGTCTGATCGTTACATCATCACTAGCCTGGAATCTGGAGATGATAAAAATGCACCTATGTAACTCCTCCAAAGCTTTTGGTTGCTTAGAAAATTATTTAAAATACTAGTACTCCAGATGCAGAGATTGGTAATTTACTTTTGAATGCTTATTTGATCCACTTTTCTGTGATATAGAACAGGTCAGTATTTCTGAGACTAGTTCTTAATGTCACTGGAATTAGTTCTTAGCTGATATAAGTGCACAAGGGCTTTGATTATGGTTTATGTAGTCAAAAGATAATCCTATGTAATGAGTATATGAAATTAATGCAATGAAATAAAAATATAGCTTTGATACTATGCTTAATAAAATTAAACTTCATGTCATTCAACTTAATTATCTTGTGTTTTGATATTATACTTCCTTATTTTTCTAAAGGGAAATTTTAATTTTGTCCTACATTTGTGTATTTGTCGAGGATTCTAATACTCTCTTCTTTTTGGGCAATAGTGGGATTTGAACTCAGGACTTCATACTTATTAAGCAAGAGCTCTACCACTTGTACAACATACCCCACCCTATTTTGTTAATTTCTTTTTCTTACAAGTCTCCTCTTTTTTCATCCTGGGTTGACCCTGTACTGCAATCCTCCTACCTATGTCTCCTCCATTTCAGATCTTACAGGCACAAGCCACCATGCCTTTAAGAGTTTTGACTTTTGAGATGTCTCACTGAATTGTGCTTTGCAGGCTTCTTAGTGCTGTCCTGTCAATCTTTGCCTGTCAGTTAGCAGGGAGTACTGTACAGGCATGAGCCACCAATATGGGCCCAAGCCCATATTATCCTTGTTAAAGAAATAGCATGTAAAATAAAACATCTTTTAAACATTAAGTAGAACCACAAACTCACAAACATTAGTCATAATTATTATGGTTACAACACAGTGTTTTTATGTCCTCATTTTGTTCTTTTCAGTAATGCACCATATAACTAGAAACAAGATAAAATAACCCTTACCTTAGTGTCTGTCCCATAGAGTAAATAGTTCTAAAATGCAAGTTAATATGTAGAAAATTTTACTATTGAAACATTCCTCCAGAGAGTAAGTGCAAAAATGATACATGCTGAAACCATTCCTGGACTGGGGGGAGGGCCCATCAGAGAGAGTCCTTGAGGGGCTGAATTCAAGAATGATATATTTGATACATAGTGAAAACTTTTGTAAATGTCACAATGTATTATCACCCAGCACAATCAAAACAAGATAAAAAAAAAAAAGGGACAAAGAGATGGATAGTTAACAGTTATTCCTGTGACTGAGACACATTTTATGTTTTCACATTATTTCAGGTACCAATGCCATCCTAAATTGCAAGTTTCAATAAAATTCATTATTTTCAAAATATGTGGAATTGTTTATTAGATATTAATATTATGATATGCATATTGGGTTCCAAATGTTCCAGTTATTTAGAACAGTGCTAGTTTCCTTGTCTCTGTTAAGTAGTATCAGCACAGAGAAATTGAAAAGCAATATGAAAACTGAAAAGGGCTATTACATGGGAAATGTTGATTTTTCCATCTCAGGATGCTTTCTGCTTGCCTGGTTTTAAGTAGGAATATTATGCTATACAGTAGCTGAAATTTCTTGGTGAATTATCTTGGAAGAATTATTAATAGATTTCAAGAAATTTGAAGGTGCATATTCACAATAAGAAGTTTTATACAATACTCACTCATTCACAGGAACAAAATATCAATGTCACTAGTAGGAAATTTAACAAGCATCAGCTGCAGATTGCCAAAAACTGCCCTTACCAACCAAGGTAGTTAAAAGATAACTAACACATAACAAAGTTTTCTCATTGTGAATGAACAACTTTGATTTAGTGTTTAGATTTTTTAAAGTCTTAGGACTTTTACATTCTTACAAAGGCTTAAAAACAATACTTCCCATGGTTTAGGATAAAATAAGGTGCATTTGACTACATTTTTGTAAAAAAATAGTTTTATTATCTTTTGAATTACTATACTTAATAACACTGTGGAGTTTAAGTGTGGCTATTCCATACATTTATACAGTGTACTTTTAATAAGGGCATCCTCACCGTTGTATTCTTATTTCTTCCTTCCTCATTTTCCCATAATATGAATGATTATTTTCTTAAAGGGAAAAAACTCCTGTGCATGTCCATTTTTTCTTAAAACTTTTGACTTGATTTGACTTTGATAACAATCTGATTATCAGTAATTTTTTTTGCTTTTCAACATTATTCAGTTGAGTCTAGGTGCACATAGAAAGAGGTAAATAACACAAAAGTGAATGATGAAATACATCTAAAGGACTGAATTTGACACAATGGAGACGTACAACTATTGTGCAGGAGCCATGAAGTGAGAATAAATACTCTGCATACTTGCAGAATATAAGCCAGGAGCATTTATTTTCCTCTTTCTCTAACTCTTTTCTATTTTGGAAGATGTCCAAGCAACATTAAACCACAAAATATGACATCTGTATCAGAATTTCTCCTCATACAACTGTCAGAGGATCCAGAGTTGCAGCCTGTTCTCTTTGGGATGTTTCTTTCCATGTACATTGTGACAGTGCTTGGGAACCTGCTCATCATCCTGACCATCAGCTGGGACTCCCACCTCCACACTCCTATGTATTTCTTCCTGTCCAATCTGTCCTTGGCTGACATCTGTTTCATTTCCACCACAGTCCCAAATATGATTGTGCACCTCCAAAATCACGTATCAATCATCTCCTATGTGGACCGCCTGACACAGATGTCTATATTTATTATTTTTGGATGTATGGACAGTCTGTTTATTGCTCTGATGGCATACGATCAGTTTGTGGCCATCTGTTATCCCATGCATTACTCAATTATCATGAATCTTCAACTCTGTGCATTGTTAGTGTTTGTGTCATTTTTGTTTAGCCTTTTGGACTCCCAGGTACACAATTTGATTGTCTTACAATTTTCTTACTTTAAGAATGTAGAAATTTCTAATTTCTTCTGTGACCCTTCTGAACTTCTTAGTCTTGGCTGTTCTGAAGCCTTCATCATTAACATTATCATGTATTTTATTGTAGCCATCTCTGGATTTCTTCCTATCTCAGGGATATTTTTCTCCTACTTTAAAATTGTTTCCTCTATCCTGAGAATCCCACCAACAGATAAGAAGTTTAAACCCTTCTCTACCTATGGGTCCCACCTATCAAATGTTTGCCTATTTTATGGAACATGTCTTGGAGTGTACCTCAGTTCAGCTGTATCACATTCTCCAAGAAATGGCGTAGTGGCCTCAATAAGGTACACAGTGGTCACCCCTATGCTGAATCCCTTCATCTACAGCCTGAGGAACAGGGGAATTAAAAATGCCCTGAGGAAGAATCTCAGGAGGACATTGTGATTTCAGAAAATGTGATTCACTTGGTATGTTGATCATAAAAATCAGTACAAGTAAACATGTCTACATGTAAGGATTAATACATTGCTCACACTATTTTTCTAGATTTTATTCCTTCATGGTGCACAATAGAGTGGTGACTATCAGGTTTCAAGAAGAATGTATGGAGAGTTTTGTAAATGGGCAAGATTTGTAGCTTGGGAAGATGAAAAATTTCTGGGGCTAGATTGTACAGAGGGTTGAATGACAATATGAATGCAATAAATACCTCAGACTGAGAACATAAAAAGGTGAAAAGGGTAAGGTTTTTTCCTTGTAAGTGTTTACCACAATATAGCAGATAAATAAAAAGAAAATAGTTACCTATTTCTCTCTGCTTTACTAATGTATATTAATTTTATGCTGAGGGATTTACTATGTTGTTTCTATACTGCATATAATACACTTTGTTTAAGTTCACTCCTTCCATTACTCTTTCTCATCCACCCTTTAAAACAATTTTCATGGATTTAATATAGTTTGTTTTTCCTTAAAAAAGAAGTGAAGAAAATTTGATGTAATATCCTAAAGAGTCCTCCAACGTAGAGGATGGGAAGTATCCTTAAAGGGACACTTGGTTTGTCTTCTCTTTCTCAAATAATATTATCATGTCCTAAGGTTTGGGATAATAGGGATAAAATTAGTTAATTATGGGCTCTGTACCTTGAGCATCAAAGTTCAAATAGTAATAAATAATCAGCCTGTACTTTAGGTCCTTCAGTTTTGTGACTCCTTTCCAAGGAGCCCCTTACATATGCCACCTTCACATGTAGCTTTCATCATCAGGAACCTCCTTTCTGATGCTGTTAGTAATATTAGTCCTAAGTACGAAGACTAAGCATTGAACAGTCAACAAGTAAGGGAGTTACTTTGGATCCAAGTCTTTACCAATGACCTAACAAAGTAGCAGCATAACTCAGTAAATACAAAGTGAGACATTAGCTTTAGTAAGGCTCATATGAATAATTGTCTCTTCATCAAGAAACAACTATGACAGTTTGAATAAGAAGTTGGACAAGAATCAGTGGGAATCACTTCAGTTGTTTTTTTTATGTTCTTAGTTCTTCTTTAACAGTAATCTTATTCCTCTTAAATTTTAACCCACATTAATTACACGTTCAATATATATATATATATATATATATATATATATATATATCACTTATATTAGTAGAACCATCATCCCACCATACTTTCCTAAATTCTACAAAGGGCTTATGAAGGTAAAGGTGAAGATGGGGAAGATTATGACAGTAAAATAACATCATGAAGCATTATTGATTGTTTCCTAAATGCTGAGCTCTCTGTAGCAATTTTTCATTTCAACTTCCTCTAATTATTGGTGCTCACATTATTATGATTTTAGAGAAAATGAAATGACTCATTATATTTATATAATTGTATAGGTTGTTTCGTAGAAATTAGTTGTGTTTGAATTGGGCTGCCATATTACGGACAGAGGACACCTTTAAAGAGAATCCACGCAGCTGTTGCCTTTGTCAACTGAGCCAGCCATTTCACTTCCCATCACTCCAGGAAGAGTTCCCTTGTTTACTTTGCTGTTCCTTTTAGGGAATCCTATTATATCAGTAGCAGAGAACTTGGTGGATACAGCAGCACTAAATATAAGAAGGATAACTAGACATTACAAAATGATCATAGAAAGCACCAGAATACAACAGTTCAACCTAAACTTCTCCCTCACAGTCCTGGATGTACTTCCAAGAGTACCTTCCTCCTATATTCTTATAATCAATCTAGTCAATCTCAAAATGAAGCACAAAGCCAGTTTTTGGTTTTGTTCCAATACTGTAAAGTGGAGAGTCTACTGAAATATACCTCAGATCCACCAGTGTTTTGGCCCATTGACTTCTTCTTTCAACTTGCTGTTGACTTGGAAATAATGAGTAGGATGACTGTATCAGCTAGAACAGTGGAACACATCTGTAATCCAAGCATTTTGATTACAAAATGAGAAAAGAAGATTACAAGTTCAAGGCTAGCCTGGACTACATAGTGAGACTGTGTTTCAAAAAAAAGAGAACATAAAATTAGTATTAGAGTACCAGATACCATTTGAATTTTTTATTGTTTTTCACTTATTCATATGTGGATAAATTAGTTGGACCATCCCTCCCGCTTACCCCAATACCCCTCTCTCTCCCTCAAGCCCCCTAGTTTCCAGGCAGAGCCTGTTCTGTCCTCTTCTCCAATTTCATTGAAGAGAAGACAGAAGCAATCATAAGCAAGAGTTAGCATTTTTGCTAGTTTGAGATAAAGATAGCTATACAGAGAGATTCCTAGGATCTCTTCTATGTACGTGTGTGTTACAACCCAAATTGGTTCATCTCTACTAGACCTCTTCACTACTTCCCAGTCACCTTCCAATAGTGGCTTCTGTCAGTTGAAGATTGCTTTATTTGCTCCTCTACAGAGGACACATCACACACTTTCAAGTTTTGGCTTTCCTACCTTTCCCTATTCCTCCTGTATGTCTATGCCCCTTAGCGTATGACCCACGTGCAGTAATATTACTGCATTTGTTTTAGGGCTAAAGTCTACATATGATGGAGAACATATGATTTTTTGGCCTTCTGAGCCTGGCTAACTTGGCTTAAGATGATGTTTTCCAGTTCCATCCATTTACTTGTGAAAGACAAAGTTGCATTCTTCTTTGTGCCTGAGCAAAATTTCATTGTGTATAAATACTACATTTTCTTAATCCATTCATCAGTACTGGGGCATCTTGGTTGTTTCCATAACTTGGTATTGTGAATTGTGCTGCAATAAACATGGGTGTGCAGGTGCTTTTGGAATAAACTGAGTTGCATTTTTTGGGTATATCCCAAGGAGTGGTATTGCTGGATCACATGGCAGATTTATGTTTAGTTTTTCAAGAAGCCTCCATATTGTTTTCCAAAGTGGTTGTTATTGGCTTACATTCCCACCAGCAGTGTATTCCTTTTTCCTTGCATCTTCTCCAACATTTGTAGTCATTGGTGTTTTTGATGATAACTATTCTAACAGGAGTGAGGTGGAATCTTAGTGTGGTTTTGATTTGCAATTCTTTTATGGCCAGCATCTTTTGATATGTTTTTTGGCCATTTGGATTTCTTCCTCTGAAAAACTTGTTTAGTTCAGTTTCCCATTTCTTTATTGGTTCATTGATATTGGAGGAGTTTAGTTTTTTCAGCTCCCTGTATATTCTAGTTATCAGTCCTTAATCTGAGGTATAGCCAGCAAATATTTTCTCCCACTCTGCTGGTGGTCTCTTCAGTTTAGAGACCATTTCTTTTGTTGTGCAGAAGCTTTTTAATTTCATGTTGTCCCATTTGTCCATCTTTTCTCTTAGTTGCTGCGCTGCTGGAGTTCTATTGAGGAAGTTATTTCCTAGACCTATTGCTTCCAGAGTATTTCTTTCTCTTTCTTGTACTAAATTCAGACTTTGGGCCTGATATTCAGGTTCTTAATCCACTGTGAGTTGATACAGGTACAGGGTGAGAACATGAGTCTAGTTTCAGTTTTCTGCAGGCAGATAACCACTTTTCCCAGCAACATTTCCGGAAGAGTTTGAACCTTCTCTGTTAACCTAATTATTTCATCTCAGAAGGCAAGTTTTCAGTTTTTTCAGACTCAATATTATTATTTGAGTTAATTTCACTGTCATAAAACTTCTTTTTAACTTTTTTAGTAATTAACAGGTAATATTTGCTCCCTATGGTAATAACATGATATTGGATAAAATATTAGCAAAACATTTAAATATTGCTAAAGTACTAGTGAGAAAGTTAATATTTATAGTACTTGACCACTTTTTTGTGTCAGAATAGTTTGTATTTGCGTGATTATATATGTCATATATTTGGAGAGGACTTTGGCTTCTGATTCTATAAATACAATGAAGCCTTTTCCAGCACAAAGGATGCATGAAAAATAAAATGGAATGTGAGTAGGCAACTTAGCTCCAAAATAGAATATGAAAAATAGCCCCATGGTGTGTCTCTGTCTGTGATCTAGACTAATGAGGGTAGAAATATTGGGACTGTGATTCAAGAGCCGACTCAGGCAAAACAATGAGACACTTGTCCAAAGAACAAGTCAGGCATGGTTATTAATACCTGTCATCCCAATTATTCCTGAGGTATATGTAGCAATATCACAGGCTGAGGCTATAACCAGAATGAAAGTGTGTGACCCTATCTGAAAAAATAAGTAAAGCAAAAAGGCTTGAGTTGTGACTCAAATGGTAGTGTGCCTGCCTAGCACCTGTGAAGTCCTGAAAACAAAATCCTCATACACCAAATAAACATCTCTTTCATACATTGAATTCTATATCAGTTGATTTATAAAAAGTGACTGTAATCAGTATGATTTTGGCTCTGTTTCTTTCCTCTCTTCACATTCATCACTTTCAGAAATTACTCATATCACTACAGTCAAGATAAAAACAGATTGACTATGCTTGGGTCATAGATAGATGGGCCCTATAATTATTTTCAGCATCATCTAGAGTATTCAGTTATTCACAGATCTGGCAGAGATTTTCATACAATGCAAAATGGGAAAATGCACAAAGAAATGTGTGCAAGTAAACCTTACAGCATTTCACAATTCAAATCATTCCCAGATTGAGAGTCACTTGATAATTGTATTCATTAGAACACAGTATATCCAGAATTCTGTGTATTCCATTTGATACAAGTGGAAGTATCATTCACTTTTTCTGGAATTATCATTCTTAGTACTAGGTGAGATTCCTTCATTAGTATCATGGCGAGATTATCACTGGGCAGATTATAAGAAATTTTTGATACTGTTTCTTAAGAACAAAGGTATGTAATTGGTAATAAAAGATTTTATTGTGATGGGAAAGTTTGGGTATTAGTAGTAAGATTGAAGAGGCATCAATTATTGGTCTTCAAACAACTCTACCACACATATGGGAATCACAAATTGTACAATACAGAGGTATAAGAATTTTAAACAGAGTGTCATAACAATAAACTGACAAATATAAATTATGTCTATTCATTAGGTAATGTATCAGTTAAAATATTTGAAAGCATTGTGTACTAGTAGTTCTCAAAGACAGGTAAAACCACAGGTCAATGAAAACTAGTGTTTTAGAGGAACAATTAACATAGTGCCATTTACTAAATAGATGTGCATTAGGTAATTCAATATGAACTTAAACACAAAGCTGCTTATTTGCCAGGCACATGGAAATAGAAATCCAGAGTATTGTGTTTTGAGACCAGACTGGGCAAAATGTTATCTAGATCTCATCTCAAACAACAAAGTTGGGCATGATTGCATGCACCTCTTATCCCCTATATGTGGGAAGAATAAATACAAGGAATGAAGTCTAGGGTGAACCAGGAAAATAATGTGATACCCTGTTCCAAAAATAACTAAAATCATAAAGAGTCATGAGGACATGACTCAAGTGGTAGTGTGCCTTCCTGGCATAGAAAATGTGAGGCAATGATTCCACTGACAGTAGTATAAGGAAGAAAAGTGTTTACAGGTACATAAAATCAATATTTACATGCTTATGTTTGCAGAAAAACCTAACCTTATCATTTATCTAAACTTACTGTCCTTTTCAATAATTAATTAATTAATTTCTGCTATTGTGGGAATTCAACTAGGGCATCATACATGCTAGACATACTGTCTACCTCTGAGCTACACCATCAGCCTCATATTTTAAATTAGTGATAGAATTGTATATGGAATTATTTTTATTATAAGGTGGGGAATTTTAAAATATGTATTGAAGGCCTGTAGCAATGAAAACATGATGTTTTTTACCTCATAAAGGATTAATGTCAAGGTTCTGCTTGCTCCAGGAAAAATTTGCTATGATTTTCCATGAGTCAATTCAATTTATTTATGTTTGTAAACTTACTGATGTTATTACAGCACCGCCTTACTGTTCCATATGTCAATTATATAATCAAGCCTCAATTTTCTTTCCTATTGCTCTATGTACTTATTCTTATTCTCTTGATTGGTCTTGCAAGTGATTTATCACTTTGTAAATTCTTTAAGACAATCAATTTTTTCATTAACACTTTCTATTATTTATTTCATTTTAACCTAAGTTTCTTCTTGTCTTCACTACTTTATTTGACAAAGTTTGGATTGATTTTACTGTTATTTTCCTGACTTCCTAGACTCAATACTTAACTTCAACCTCTCTAAGATTATTCTAAAATCAATGATATAGTTTGTTTCTATCTGTTAAAAACTTTTCATTTACATATACATTTGAATTGATTGTGTCTTATATTACACAGAGATTGTAGTAAGGATGTTTACCCAGAATATTCAGGAAGTCTTTCTGTATTGTCAGTTCCTCCCTCACATTTCCTTGGCGATCACACATTCCAGTTTTTCAGAGAATGTTCAATTCATACTTGTCCACTAAAGCTGAGTGTAAATAGAATTCTCTGTCAATCCCGAAATGTCCTGATATGAATTAGAGATAAAACACAAAACTAGTTGAAGAATCAGTTGAAAATCATAAAAAGGAAGAAGGTGGTAGCTATCTGAATCTAAGGTAATGTTAAATATATCTTAAAAATAGAATATATTAGGAAGAACATTATGGAGGTAATAGATAAGAAGGCATAGAGAGATCATGATTATTTTGCAATGATAAAAGGAAAATGAGACCACTCAAGATGAAAACCTTATATAATGGATGAGGAAAGTGAGAATAATATGCTGATGTGCTAACCATAAACCCAAGTGACTATTTTATAACTGAAGAGTCTGAAATAGTAATTTCTCCATGAAATTTGTGCTGTATAAGAAAATTGAACAAACATAGAGCAGGAAGGTACAGAGTACAAATCCAGTGTATCTACAACCTAAGTATTTCTTTTTGCCCATGTTCAATTTTTCTGCATTTTCCAATTCTATGAACCAAATACCACAGCACAAGTATTAAAATTCTGTCTTTTTGCTGAAAACATTCATTGCGGTCCTCCATCCCTATTCCTCAGGATGGAGATGAAAGGGTGCAGCATGTGGAGGACCATGGTGTACCATGGTGTCCTGAGGTGATGGCACCCTTACTGGTGGAATGAGAGACAGCTGAGCTGAGGTACAGTCCAAAACCAGTTCCACAAAACAAGCAAATAACTGAAAGGTGAGAGTCACAGTTGGAGAAGGCTTTGTTTCCTGCCTACGGATGGAACTCCCCAAATAGAGGAAGAAATTCAAATATGTGAATAAATGATCTCTGAGACTGCAACACCAGCAAATATCAAGAACAATATGGACTGACATTTACTACAGTAATAACTGTAGGTGTCTGATGAGCCAAGATTGACAAATATAAGAGTGTCACCAAAGAAATTATTAATTTTCACAACTTTGCAAAGATAAGTTGGAACACCACTAAGCAGTGGACCTAGGAGTCCAAAATGCTGATAAAATATGACACCATAACCAAAAAGCCACACACATGAGTGTAGAGGGTGACAGATGGCCCCAAAGCAATCATAGACCATTAAAGTAAGGAGTAGATTGTGCAAACATCAAAAATGTATGAAACAGAGCACCCAAGTTAAGCAGCCTTTGTGGGTGATGGAATTAGTGTGTGTCTGGATGTTCACCAATATTTGGGGGACTGTAGTGGAGATGAATGCAACATCGGTCCAAGGACAAGTTACAGATGTAGAAGAACACGGACTTGTGGAGGTGCTTATTACAAAATTGTTTCCAATTCTACAAGTTTCATAAACAGTCTTCTTCACCTGTGAGTTTAACCTGTCATTAGTTATTTATTTTTTGGGACATGCATTGGAGTGTACTTCACTTCAGCTCTGTCACATTCTCTCAGAAATGGTGAACTGGCCTCACTGTTGTATATTTGACTATGCTAGTGCTCAGTCCTTTCATCTACCTCTGTGGAACAGTTACAGTATAATGCCTGGTGAAAATTTGACATAAAAACCCTAATATAAGGACCTATGCTGTACATTAGAATGGTGATGGAAAATACAGCAAAAATAAATATCCAAATCTGTTAATTCTGCCTCCATGAACATACTAATACTGTATTTGGGGGCGTTTAATTTGTCATTGTGTTACATAGTAGGCTAATGACTGACAATATGTGGGTTGGAAGGAATTGGAATTTTTCCTGGTATGAGGATTTGAACTCAGGGAATTGTGATTAGTAGGCATAAACTCTCCATTTGAACACTTCCTTGGATGGTTTTAATTTAGGAAATTTTTCACTGTGGTATTGCATTTATATCTAGTCCAGTTTGAACCTCTATCTTCCTGTTTATGTTTCTGCCACAGATGTTATCACAAATGTTCATCACCACACCCAGCCTTTAGTGGTTGGGTTGGGGTCTTGTGAACATATTGCTTGGGCTTGCCTTGAAGCATGGTCTTCTAGAAATCTCCCTCCTGAGCAGCTAGGATTACAGGTACCATTGCACCCACCTGGAATAGGATATTTTAAAGAATGTGGATACAAATTTAGCTAAGAAGGTGAAGTGCTTTTCAGGTGAATGATGTTGATGGTTTCACAACTATGTGTATGCTGTTAATGCCATCAACCTGCGAACTTTATGTGATTATAATGTTTCAAGAAAAACATGAAAATAAAAAGCAGTTGAATCTTAAAGGGTGAATGAAGTAAATTAACATCTCACATGAGTTTATTTCCCAATATACGCACAACTCTCCACCCTCTTGGAAATAATCACTTTATCAGTCACATTTTTCTCCATTAATATTACAAAGACCTTAGAGACTGGCATGGTATGGACCACAGGGAGTAATTTTGACTTCTTTGAATTGGGCATCCTATGCCAGGTAATAGTAAATAAGCAGTCTGTACCTACAGCATTTAGTCTGATGTCTGTAGTCCAATGATCTATACCTGTGTCTGCTCCTGCAATAGTTTTCTGCATCGGGAAACTCCTCTCTGTGACTTTAGTCATATTGACATTGAAGATAAAGATTGAGCCTTCACTTGACAACAGGCAAGTTTGGTTTTTCACATCCACAGCTTGGTCATGACCAAACAAAACAACAGTGTAACCAAGTAAGTGCTAAAAGGGACAGGGATGAAAGTAAAACTGATCCTATCATTACTTACTCACCATCAGAATAAGTATAATATCTTGGATGGCTTAATGGGAAAATAACTTCATGCAATTTTAAGTCATGTGCAGTGTGAAATTTATGTTCTTGGTCATGATGGAGGTCACAAAGTTTTCATTAAATATTTTCCTTTCAACTTATAGTTGTTCTCTTGTTCCCCATAGACAGCTCAACAAAAGTACAGAAATGGGTCCAATTGAATTATCTCATAAGCAAACCAGATAATTATGGTTGTTCTTATGATGAGCAGGGTGTCAGTAGCTACAATATCACGTATGGGCATAATGTTTCCTAAGTGGCAGGCTTTGAGATATGTATTAT